GTCTGGAACAGTGGGGGGGGGAGTCGGTCACATACCAATAGTTTCGTTTAGATCATATTTGGCTGAACGTACTTTTTGTGTCTGTCTTGATGGCCATAGGTCCCCCTCTGCTCCACTGTGGTGTGGTGTCCCACAGGGCTCAGTTCTAGACCCGCTCCTTTTCCCACTTTACCTTCTTCCGCTCGGCTCTATTTTCAGAAAACATGGGATTGCCTTTCACTGCTATGCAGATGACACACAGATATACTTACCGCTAAAGAATGTAAACTCCACCTCTCTTCGGTCTCTGTTTTTATGTCTTGAAGATGTGAAGGCCTGGGTGGCCCTAAATTTTCTAAAACTCAATGAAGACAAGACGGACGTAATGATCTTTGGCAGATCCACTGCTGATTCCTTGACCAGTCTTGGCTCCTTGGCTCAGTACGTTAAGCCGGTTATTACTAATTTAGGGGTTAAGATGGATGCTGGTCTTAAAATGGAAGCAAACATCAGAGCCGTTATAAAGTCCAGCTTTTCCACTTAAGGCAGCTAGCCAAAGTAAAACCCATTCTTTCCAGACAGCATTTCGAATCAGTGATCCATGCATTTGTGACCACACGGCTGGATTACTGTAACTCACTTTATACAGGGGTCAGTGACTTCTTAACTTCAGAGGGTTCAAACTGCTGCTGCACGTCTTTTAACAGGTACATGGAAATTCCACCACATTTCCCCTGTTTTAGCTTCCTTACACTGGCTGCCAGTACATTTTAGGATTGATTTTAAAATTCTTTTATTTGTTTTTAAAACTCTTAATGGCCTTTCCCCTTCTTATCTGTCTGAGCTGTTGCATTCTTACACACCCTCCCGTTCCCTCAGGTCAGCTGATCAGTTGCTTCTGAGGGTCCCAAAGACAGAACTCCTGTCCTCCAGGGTCTAACATTACATGCCAAACGTAGCTGTTACTTCACTCTAAATGCATCCTAAAATGTCTGACTTCTAGAAATAATCTGATACTAAATATAGCCATGAAAAC